CCAGCCATCAGACTGTCTGTGGCATTAAACTCCTCCGCAGTGACATTCATTCCTCTGAAATGCTGCATTATTATTCAATCTCCTGAGCTGGCAGAGTCTGCACTGAGCCTGTGACCTGCATGCTTGTGTCATTCATAGAGAAGAACTCCCTGCACGTGGGGCGGAAGACCTGTTATTAAACAATTTCCACACTCTCATTAAAGTGCAAGAGGAACAAATATCAGCACAACATATATATATATATATATTGTACCGGCTCCTCTCCTGCACTGAAATCCCTTCCTCTGATTGCACTGCACACTGCGAGCTTCACACAATGTGCATTAGAAGCTGCAGCCAGTCACATAGGGCCCGCCTCATTTCCTGATTGGAGGATGGCGGGAATCATCTAGCCCCTTCCTCTCCAGCCTGACTGTCCCTGGGCTGGCCCTATCATTTATTGGATTATAGTTCTTTCAATCACGGAGCCCCAGCATCACATGTGGGTGGTTTGCATGCAAATACAGCCCGCCCAGGAATACCCGCTCACCCAGACTGACATCCACCCATCAAGGCATTTTGATATTTGCATAACTCCTCCCAAGGGCCAGCCTACTACTTGCATTAGTACTGAGGCAGGGCGCTGCGATGGTTTCAGGAAGCCATGTACAGGACCCTGCTGGCCCCTCCCACTAACTATGATCTGCCTGCAGTGCACAGAGAAGCTCAGAGACCCAGTGAAGCCATGTAATAAAAATGCAAACATTGTATTTAAAAACGTCTTTAGCGTGTTAATGAAAAGGGAAGGGAGGAGCTAGAGAAAGCAGTTCAAACTTCAGTTTTGACCTTCCGGTATGTTTTGAGGGCACCCATAGAAGCACAGTCAGGATATACAAACTCCATGCAGGAAGCCAATGGAACCAAAGATTCCAGTATCAGAGAACCTCAGACCTAACCCCTTATGCTCTGTTATGTATGAAAGGGCCCTTACACTTACATGTTGCAGGCACAAGGCGGAGATTCGGAAGTTGCCGGAATGGTTTAGTTGCCTTTCGGGAGGAGAGCACTTATCATACTGGGAATGAATTACTGGTTCAGACATTGTATTGTCGTCTTCTTCTTCAGGGGAAATCAGCAGCTTGGGGAAAGGAGGGAGCCAGTGACTGGCTGCACACAGGAAGGGAATACTTGTGTTACCGTTATATGTGGTTTGCAGAGGAGATCCAGGATTTGTTCCATGCTTGTCCCATGGATTGGTTATTACCTGTACAGCTGACCAGAAAATTTTTGGATGGAGATATATACACACATACATACACATACACACATACATACATACATACATACATACATACATACATACATACACGCACACACACACACACACACACACATATACATACATACATACATACACATACATACATACATACATACATAAACATACATACATACATACACATACATACATACACACATACATACATATACACACATACATTTTCCAAATTGTGCTCAGTCCTGACTCTCCCCTTCATGTCCTCAGGAGTACAAACCCGGGACAAAACCCCCGATGAGATCGGCTCCTTAACACGCCGGAGGACCACCAGCGAAGGACAATATGATGAGATTTCCGGGGAACCCGGGTACAACCCGAGCAAAGTGCGCTCCCCTGTGCGCTGCGTCTCCCCCGAAGTCTTCAACACCATCGCCGCCAATCCAGGAGGGAGGCCGAAAGAGGTAACCGCCCCTTTGAGAATATTGGATCGGTATCTCTGGATAAAAGTACCGAGCATTAAATAAAAGCGATGATCGCCTTCATTTATTATGGTAGCGCAATGCTAGCATCCAAACTGCAGCAACTAATAGAATGAATATTTCACTGATCTGGCCTTCACTAGCTGTGCCCAGCTACCCCAAGGCTCAATTGGATGCTCTGGACGTAACACTTATTCTTACTTTTAAAGTTGTATACAACATATTCAGCACTTCTCTGCAATACATGCACATTTGTCATGGTTTACCATTTTAAAAATGCTGCAAGTACAGAAAAAAATGCCTGTTATTCTACCAGAAATCCAGTGAGCTCCTAACTTCCTGTTTCAGGTGACAACGCTGCCTCTGCTGCACTAAAATCCCAAGCAGTGTTGTCAGCCTTGCCCATTTCTCCCCTGCTGGACTACAGAACTTTTCCACCTCTCCTTATCTATGTAACATAAACGGGGAGGTGTTCTATACTCCAGCCGGGGTAAACTTAAGCTTCATTTGTTGTTCTGATTCGTTGTACGGTTAAGATTACCAAGAAGTCAACTCTGTATGTATTTGGTAACTTTGATGTGTCTGTGTTGCAGGCTCATCTGCACAGCTACAAGGAGGCCTTCGAGGAAATGGAAATCCCGTCCCCTCTTAATAGCCCCACCACAACAGGTAAGCACAGTTCACCATTACATTGTATAGACTGTCTAATGATAATCTGAGCTCAGGCTCTTTAATCAGATCCGTGAATGCAAGTGTAAGAGATCACTGGAGGCGACCAGTGCCAGTCGACATTCACTTCAAGTAGATCTAAACCTTAACTGGATGACATTTTCATTTGCTGGATTTATTTTTACATAAAATGCTGTTTTTTAACTTTATTCTCATTCTTTTTGCATCTCAGGGCTGCTCGTCTCCTGCAGCCTCTTTCAGCCGCTTCCTGTCTACATGCACTCCCTCCAGCATTGGGTGCAGGTCATTGCTCTGGACTGGCTTCATGGCATGACCACTTAAAATCTCCACCAGGGGCATGTGATGGAGTGGCAATGCAGGAGAGCAATTCAAAAACAGTATTACCC